TTCTTTCTTTCTTTCTTTCTTTCTTTCTTTCTTTCTTTCTTTCTTTCTTCTTCTTTCTTTCTTTCTTTCTTTCTTTCTTTCTTTCTTTCTTTCTTTCTTTCTTTCTTTCTTTCTTTTTTCTTTCTTCCTTTCTTCCTTCCTTCCTTTCTTTCTTTTTTTCATTCTTTCTTTCCTCCTTTCTCTTCCTTCCTTCCCCCTCCCTTTTCTTCCTTCCTTCCTTTCTTCCTTCCTTCATTGCTTCCTTCTTTCCTGCTTACATTTGTCCTCCCTTCCCACCTTCCATTCTCTCTCTCTCAAAATCATTTTATGATTTATCTGAGGTCCTTTAGGGTCCTTGGATAGAAAAGAAGGAAGCAACATCCATAAAAGTCATTCAAGTAACTACCTCTGCAAAGGTAGAGATCCAACTTAGAGATCCATGTATCTCTTGTCTCTGCAAAAGAATTTCTCCCTAATGGTGTTGATGTCTCTGTTTTTGCTTTCCCTTTGGATTGTGAGCCCGTGGATGAGCAATAGTGTCTTATTTGTCTTTGGTTACACAGGGCCATTTTATTATGTGTCATAGAGCAAGGACTGGATCCATATTAGTTAAACAGATGCACATATTGCTGGATTAACAGTGACATGGCACATATACGACATCTCAGAAAAGACCCAGGCTCTGGAGTTGCACTAAGGCTTGAAACCTGACACTGTTCCCTACTACCTGTATGATCTGGGGTGTATTGCTTTGCTATGGTGTGATCTTTAGAGTTTTTTTCCATGTAAAATGGAGATAATAAAATTTGCACCGCATAGGCTTGTAGGAAAGATTAACCAAAAATAGTTTGTAAAGTGACTGTGCTTAGTTGATGCCTTGTGGCCAGCAGCCACTAATATTAATCTTTTATCATCTCTGAGACCTCCAGGCAGGGCTCAGTTTATTTATGCTGGATAATTATCATCAGCAAGGGGGTCTCCCTGCCTCCTCATCAGGTGTAATTGCCCAAGTGAAGTCATCCACAGAGAGTGGAGCTGCCATCTGTGCTGAAGTCTCCTGTGCTGGCCCTCCCCTTCCCTTCTGGAGCCCAGGAGCAGATGTGGGAGGCTGAGCAGGGAGACTTCCGTTGCTGCTGTTAGCAGCTGAATTTCTGGAATCCCTGCTAACAAACAGCCCACATCAGAAACTGGAGCAGCTGCACATTTCCTTGGGGCCTGCCAGGGCTCCATACGTGCATGTGGGAAGCCCCTTTCCTCCCCTCCCCACCAATTTAAAAAAAAGGCTGGAATTTTCTGTTGATGTTGGTGATATAAGAAAGGGGATTGTTGTGTGGACTTGGGCAGAATTTAAGATCCACCCAGGTCAGGGGAAGGGTATGGCAGGACAGTGGTGCAGAGTGCACCCCCTAAAATCGTCTAGGGGCCCAACAACCTCCATCTCCCAGAGGTTCATGAAGAGTGGTAAATAGGAGTCAGGAGTTTGAATTTGGGAACCGGCATTCTTGTCAATGGGGTCTTTTATGGCCAAGTCACTTTCTGACTCGGGTTCAGAATCCTCATGTACATGACAAGGTTGACCTAAATGACTTCCAAAGTCCTTTCTGGTCTAAAGATTCATGATTCTCATTCTGTGTTTCTGGGTCTCTCCTCACATTATCTCAAATATTGGATAGTGTCCTGGGTCCCATGCCCTGACCTCTGCGTTGCCTGGTTCCTCAGTCTTCTACCTGCATTGTCCTATGCTCCATCCCTGGATCAGCCCCTGGATACTGCATCTTCTGATATGTTGACTGATGGAGGCTCAAGTCCTCACATATGCTCATTTTCATTTTCCTAAGAGTATTTCTTAAATAGAATAATATTTTCAAACATAAAAGATAGGATTTCTTTCAAAACTTTTTATTTTTGATATGTAATAATTGCATGACTTTATAGGGTACACAGAGACATTTCAATATACATATGTGAGGCACAATGATCATATCAGGACAGTACTATCCATTGCCTCAGAAAGCAATCATTTCTTCATGTAGGAAAGGTTCAAAGTCCTCTTTACTACCTGTTTTGAAATATACAACTCATGTTGTCAACTATAGTTACTGTACAGTGCTGTCAATTGTAGGAAGTTATTCCTCCTACCCAGCTGTATCTGTGTATCCATTAGCCATCATTCCTTCATCCCACCCCAAAAAGATATTTCTGAAACTGGAGTTTCATATGTCAGACAGACAATGAGGGAGACATGTGTGTGTGTGTGTGTGTGTGTGTGTGTGTGTGTGTGTGTGTGTACCAGGGCCAGGTGGTCACATGGCAAAAGAAAGAGGTCTTGCTGTCCATCCTGTAGACCTCCCTGTGGTCACTGTGTTAGACACATGTGTGTTCCAGTGTGGTCTGATTGGAACAACAGTGACCATTACTTATGAAGTGCCTGTTGTCACCAGGCAACACTTGGGCTAGTGTCTAATCACAGGAACACACAAGGTGGGAATTACAATGTGTATCACTTACAACTTCTATAGCTCTCAAGTGACCTGGAGGGCCATATTGTGCAGCATTCCCAAGGTGTGGAGGCTGAGTCCATAATGCCTGGTGAGGCTGGGGCAGGAGGACATTTCTTGGCTGAGGAGGGAGAGAGGCATGTTGCCTGCTCAGTAGCAGCACCTCAACCCCTCAGAAGCTATAACTCATAGAATATTCACGGCCTTAGTTGCTTGGTGAAAAATGGCCTCTGAAAGGAAGCCAACAGCTAATGTTGAGGATGTGGGTGAAAAGAGAATGAAGAAGGCTAAGAAAGTGTGCCAGAAATAGAAACTTGAGATAAACACTGAAAGGTTGAATTTAACAGAGGCTCAGACTCATAATAGGACTGAGGGCGCTCACCCTATATCTTCAGTAAAGAAACAAGACAAAACAAATCATGGAAACTGCTTTAAGGAGTATTCCAGTCAGTGAGAGTGGTGTTTTCTGAATACTACATGTAAGCTATTTGAAGATCACGAAGTGTGAGTTACATGGAGGGTGGGACCCAAAGCCCAGTGAGCACCCAAATCCTCTTCTCAAGGTGTTCACAGTACGGAGGGGATAGAAACAAACAAGGGACCGGATATTCTAGAAAATATGTAAGGTGAATAGCCATGAGGGGGATACTTATAGGGCTACTGGCATTCATGAGAGGATTCATTTATAACTCCAGTCTTGGTCATGCAGGAAGGTGGTTTGAAGAGGGAGTTGCTGAGCTGGAACTTGAAAGGAGTTGGCTTAGAGGGCATTTGGGCAAAGATATCAGTGTGAGAAAATGCCTGTTTGTCAGAGTCTGCTGGATGTGGCTGGAACAGGGTCAACATGACTTGGCCAGAGTATCAGGTTTGCATAAATTTCATGAAAGAAAATCCAAGAAGGGTGGGTACCAATTTATAGGAAGGTCTTGAGTGCCAGCCTAAGGAATTTGGGTGGGCTATGATGTACTATAAGGACCAACAAGTTTAAAATTTTTAAAAATCAACATGGTTGTATTTCACTCATGGTACAAATCCATCTCTTGGCAGCTGGGAATCTGTTCCCTGTTCCTTTACTCTGGGCTCATATTGATGGAGCTCCTGTCACCTGGAAAGTTGTCATCTGCAACTGTTGGAGAAAGGGGACATGGACATGTAGACATCAGTATTTCCATTCAGAAGTAAGACTCACAGTATATTTTGTTATAGTTTCTGTCTGAATGTCCCCTCAATGCCTCATGCAGTCATGGAGCAAACTTCTAGAGTTTATGATGATTCATGGTCCAGTGTTGGAATTATGGATATGAATGCTACACCTGCCCTGGGGCAGATAGTTTGCATACAGTGTACGGGAGGGAAAAAGACTGCTTTCCACCCGTCCCCTCTTTTTGGTCTTGCTACTTTGCTGTCTTCCTCCACCATGAACTGTTGCCCTGTGCCATGTGCCACTCTGCCTTGGAACCAGCCGAGTATGGACTGAAACCTCCACAAACTGTAAGCTAAATAAACCTTTCCTTCCTTAATTTTGGGCATCAGGTATTTTATCCCAGCAATGAGAGAAAAATAACTAAGACATATTGGTCAAGGTTAGTCATCTGGCCGTGGGGAAGACAGTCCCACCATAGGCTTGGGAAGAAGAGAATGGAATATTGATGAAGAGAACTGCTGACCGACAATTATGAAGGATGGGGGGTGTGCTCAGAAGCTTTTGTACAGCACAGTGACATGGTCCTCTGAGCTTCCTGGGTGCCTTCTTTTTACACTCAATATTGCTCATATTAGGTGGAAATGGTCTGCTCCATATTGGTCTCCCAAGGACCAGGCCTAGTTCATCTTTGTTCTCCAATGGTCCACAGATTGGATGCTTAAGCAAGGAGGATTTAATAGACAGACAAAATAAGGCTGGAGATGTAGCTCAGTGGTAGACTTCTTGCATAGCATGCACAAGGCCCTGAGTTCAGGCCCCAGTACCACACAAACACAAGAAAAAAGATAGACAAAATACATTTATTTTCTGAAGAATGGATTGGAAAGAGAATAGATTGGAACCTAGGGAGGTCAATTATTGTATTTGTCCCAGTTAACTTGGGGAGAAAGGAAGACACCCTCCTCAGAGTTGTCTGGACCTTCTTATTGGTATTATTTTGTTATACATCACATGAATGACCATCAGTGTTAATGATTAGAATAAAGGAAAATGCTTATTTATTTCCTGGACAAAGGAGGGCTTCTCTTGTCATGCTCATCCAGTTTCCCCACTGAATGACCTCTCTGGGGTGTGCTTCAATCTGGTTGGCTGTGTCTGCAACACTGGCCTTTTTTCTAGCCCCTGCTGTAATAAGCACATGAGTCTGGTGGCCTCAGTTCCAGAAAGATCAATGTGGGTAGCTTTGGCAGTGACAAGTATCTTGATAACTGCTTTGAAGCTGGTGGACAGCTGCAAGCTTGACTAGATGGTGACTGGATTAGAGTCCCCAGCACAATTAGCTGCTTTTCTCACTTCTGCATCTGAGGAGACAGGTGGAAGCAGGAGTAAAATATTTCCCCTCTGTCTCATGTGGAGGTTACTTTAGTTTCAATGAAGTAAAAAATCTGGATTAGGCCTGTGCCACAGTCTAGGTGACTGTCTACTTCTTGGCAGACTGAACAGTGTTTGAATGAATCCCCTTGGCTGCAGAGAAGCTTCAGCTAAGGGCAGGGGCAAGGCATTCAGAGTCAGGGGACCTGGCCAGGTGGGGGTGGGGGAACATGGCAGGGAAGGAAAAAAGGGAAAGGAAGGCTGCTGAGAGCCCAGCTCACTCCAGAAAGGGTGGACTAACAGTCTCTTGGCCTGAGACCCCAAAGCTGAATCTGTAGTTAGAGGGCTGAAGGTACTAAACTTGTGTGGATGAGGAGGAAGAACATTGATAGGATTGTGGATGGGAGAGATCACACCACGGTCACAGATTCTTACCAGCTGTGAAGTCTTGAGTAAGTCATCCCACACCTCTGGCATTTCTTTCCTGGTCTTTCAGACAGGAGAGTTGGGTTACATGAGCTCTAGCCTATAATGGCCTATTTCAAGTTTTCTGTATAAAGAGGATATGGTGGTTCATGAGCCAATAATCCCACCAACTGGGAGGCTGAGGTAGGAGGATTACTTGGATGCAGGAGTTTAAGACTAACCTGGGCAATATAGGCAGACCTGTCTTCAAAAATTATATATATGGATATGTCATATTGTATCAGTAGGGTTTACTAGAGAAACAGATATAACACAAGATATACAAATGTACAAGAAATTATAAGTTTGGCTTACAGTGGTCAGCCACAGAGTTGGATGAGGAAGCATGCAGAGGGTGTCTGCACGCTGGAGATTGAAAAGCCCAGCCCCAGGCCTGGAGCTCACTACAGTGTCCATACAGCCCATATCAAGAGGCTAATGGATCTGTGACAAAATGCTAAAAAAATCTACGACAAAGGCCAGCGAGCCTACACCAAAAGGCTAAAGAGTCCCAGAAGCCAAATAGTCTACACCAAAAGCCAAGAAATAACCAAGCTAAAGACAAAAACTAAAGCTTCTCAAAAAAACCAGCAGCCAGTTCTTTCTCAATTTCCCTTTTTTTTAAATACAGCCTACCTGCCCTGGGGGTGTGGAGGTAGTCCTCTGCACCCACACCCTCTACATGCCTTCCTCTTACATAGGCTCAAGATAATTACAAAATAAACACCCTGGCTCCCTGCTAAGTCACTTAGCCAAACCTCTAGACTCCCTAAGTTAACACAATATATCAACCATAACACATATATATGTATATATTTGTATGCCTGTATATGAAAAAATGCATATAAAATATACATCCCTGCTCCCTACTCTGGAATCAGTTTATTAGTTAAACATACAATTTTAGGTTAAGGTTCAATTTCCCCATCTGTTAAATGAGAATTAAAATAGTCCTTAAGATGAGCAAGGGAACATCATCCTTTGGAAAGCATCATAATAAGTCGCACAAGTTGTGCTGCCGCTGTGGCTCTAAGGCCTTCCACCTTCAGAAGTGGACCTATGGCAAATATGGCTGCCCTACCAAGTGCAAGAGAAAGTATAACTGGAGTGCGAAGGTTAAAAGGCGAAATACAACCAAAGCTGGTCAAATGAGGCACCTAAAAAAAATTTTTTTTTTTTTGAGGCACCTAAAAATTATATATTGCAGATTCAGGCATGGATTCCTTGAAGGAGTGACACCTAAACCCAAGAGAGCAGATGTTGCAGGATCCAGTTCATCTTGAGAATTTCAATTATGACTCAAAATAAATGCTTTGGTTTTAAAAGAAAAAAAAATAATGCTTGCTTCATAGAGTTGCAGAGAAATTTAAAGTAACTAATGAATGCAAAGTGCTTAGCCTAGCACCTGTTCTATAGTGAATGCTCAAATATACTAGATATAACTACTACTACTACTACTATTATAATTAGTGATTGTCTATATATACCCATTTGGCCAGGAGAAGCAATCTAGGAGGAACATACATATTGAATTAGTACTGAACATCTACCCTGGTGGCACTGGGATTTTGCAATAAATTTTATCCCATATAAAATTTATCCCATTCTTGTTGGGCAGGTAAGGTAAAAACTCAGAAACATTTAAATGGTATCAAGAGAAGTATGACAATGACTAGGATCAGTAGCATAGATGCTAGAGAAGTGGTGGGGAATTTGGAGAGGCTAAGGAAGAGCGAGTTGAAGGATGTGCAGCAGACTGCAGTGGAGAGGATGCAGGGGAGGGGACAACACTGAGTTGAATGGAGCAGGCACGGCAGGTGATAGGGAGTCGTCCCCACCCCACTGTGTATGTGAAGGGTCTTCTCTCCCTCCTGGGATGAGAGCTGTGCATTAGTTAAGCCCACTAGCTAGTACTTTGCCTGCTCCCCACCTTGCTGGAGGTGGGCACTGGGTGTGCACGAACATACTTGTGTTCATGTGTACTGCAATTTTATTTTATGTGTTCCTTTTTTTTGTATTGGAATTTTAGAAACTCAGAAATAAGATGACTCGTTTTCCAGAGCCAAGTCTTACTTAAGCCTTTCAACTGTATTAAGACTGATGACCCCAGAAGCAAAGAGATTGTTAGAAGTTTCTCACTACCCCTTTCCTTCTCCTCCAACCCTGTACTGAGTGACAGTCAGATATGTCTGTTCTTCCTCTAAGCTTCTGGGAAAGGGCGGACTTTCTTCAGGGTGTGCTGTCTGGGACCTTGAAGGCAAACAGATTGCCTCACAGCTACATCCCAGCTTGGTGAACAGGATTAGGCCACTGGGAGTGATGGCAGTGAGGATGGTGAGAACGAGGGGTGCTGTTGTGACCCCTTTCATCACATACCTTGGAGGCAGTGGCTCTGGGGCTGTCTCAGCATCACACCGTAGCTCTCTTGCCTCACTGGGATGATGAGAGAAGCTTAAAGGTCAAGCCAGCCTTGTTTGTAGATAAAGAGACTTAGGTGAGATCCCCTAATTACATTTTCTTTTTCAGAAGCCTCTCTTCCGGGAAAAGGGCACATGGTGTGGGTGTTTTAATTGACTCAAGAGCAATGGACAGTTATGGCCATCTTCAAATCCATATGCTCCCTGAAAGAAAATACAAATAAATCAACTTTTGGTGATACCAGAGGTTCTGAGGATTTTCTGTAAGGTTCTGTCACTGCCAGATGTTGGACTGGGCATGGAGCTCTGTGCTAGACACTGGGGTTAGTGGAAATCAGTGGATTTTAACCGTATCCTGGAAGCCCAGGCAGAGTATGGGAAGGACACCTCTGGCAAGCAACTCAACAGTGATCATAGTCACATGGCCTCCAATTGGGTATTTTTATCCTTTAATTATTATTAAGCATTGACTACAATGATGTTTATCCATTCCATTTTTTCAACTGATGCCTTTGTTAGGATGTACTGTGTGCTGGGCATGTGTTAGGCGCTGGCTGTAATGGTGAATGGTGCAGGCTGGTGCCTGCCCTCAGGGAGCTTACATTTTAGTTGGGGAGGAAGATAATAAAGGAATACAAGGAAAAATAAACACTATACTTACAGGTTGTTATAACTGTCACAAAAGAAATAAGAACCATGGAGATGTAGGGAGAGGGGAGACTATTTTCTACCTCCCCTCTTCCCCAACTACTTGCAGCTCTTTTTCCTTACCCAGGTGGTC